TTTCTGACCATGAGTATCATTTACGTTGAGTGTTCAGTTGAAGAAAGACAATATTCTAGGAAGGTTGCGTTCACTCACGTAGGTTTTAACGGCCAGAACGTTTCGTTTGAAAAATAAGCGTGCATAGACAATAGTGCTTCCGAAGTCGACGGTTTGTCAGTACTTTACTGGTATACATATACAAATTTCAGTACCGTTCCACGCGCTAGGTAGGCCATGTTCTATTGAACTTCAAAAAATCTTTGCCATGCCTAATTATCTTCATTCAGGGAGCCTGTCGTGAAAAGAAAAACGGGTGACTGCGTGGCCAATTCAATGGGAAGAAAGATCCTCTGCAAGACTGAAGATTGTGCTCGGAAACGTTACAGACTACCTCATTCAAAACTTGGACGTAAAAATGAGTGGCAACCTGGAACAACATTGTCTATCTCGAACATTCGATTAGACAAACTAGCGAAGTATACACCATAAAACCTCGAAAGTGATAAATGTTTTGAAAAGCTGGATAAACGAAATCATGGAGAATGTCCAGATGCTCATACCTATTCCATTTCCAACAAGGAAGGTTGAGGAAATTTAATAATTGGAGCCTAAATATGTAATTCCCCGAGTAACGCCTCTAACAAACCAAACCAACTGACATTATCAAGATGAACGAGGAATGTATTCAATGACTCCTCAATACCGCTTAATACATGAAAGTTGAACTGCCCACGCCCAGCACGTGAACGCCTGATATGTTGTGCGAGAACGGGTCGCAGGTGATACGCGGATACAGGTAAATTTAGATTTTCGATTCACTGTGCTCAATCTCATTGTCAGTTGGTGGACCTGCTCGGATAATCGACCAGCGCAAAAGAGAGGAAAGAGAGTACGAGGCCGAAGCTGGGGACTCCATGTTCGCAGCGCCTCAGGGCATTCCTCATAATAAACAATCCGAAAGTCTTTTAAAATGTCCCGGTATGCTAAAAGAAGTGGCTTGAGAGACTACAAACTGACGGGCTAAATCGGTCCGTTCAAGGCAGAGTCAGACTGCAATGTTTCCCCCTTACTGCGGCCTGGACGACATTTCTATTCAGATGGGAACTGAGCTGCCACTTTCTTGTTTCCGTGAACACCTTCACGAGTTTACACGAGCCCGGCGAGTGTGGCATGCACAGAATTTTCTCTGGATCTCGCCTCCAGTCTTCTTGGTTCTGTCATGCGCCGGGCTCAGGTGGATAAGAGAAAAGAGAGAGTGATAGATCCTTTGCAAGTTTACTATCACAATAAAACAATTCACATGTAAGTCACCGTCCCTGCATCCACTTACTGTGGGGACGCACAGTGAATATGGAGTGGTCTCTGCCGTCCGACGGCCTCCATTGCTTTGTCCGGCGTCATTGTTCAAGGACAGCTGCCTCAAGGTCATCCAATACCTCAGTCAGCGC